CGAATTGATGTGTTGAATCGATATTTGGTGAGAAATTTCCTATTTCGGAAAAGTTAAACTTTTAGGTTTAACAATAGATAAACTAAGTTAAATATTATAGCAATGATCATGTATTTAATATGTAATTAAGTTGCAAATCTCTACAATAATAAAGTCTACCGAGCAATGGCTCCAGTTAGTGTTAGTAGTAGTAAAAGTTATATATGCAATAGGTTAATATTAATTTAAATAGATGTTTAATGTAATAACAAGATTAGTATTTAATTAATAAAGTCTTGTGTTTTATGCTTATTTGCAGTTAAAAAATTAGCTAGTAATAATAATAATATCTTAAAAGATTAATCCAAATAAAATATTTAGTCTAATTAATAATTTTATTCTAAGCTTTAAATAAAAAAATTTTAAAAAAATTAAATAAACAAATCAATAAATTAATTTTTTATTAATAAATAAAAATTTATAATTTAAAAATATTTTAAGACATTTTAACAATTATTAATAGAATTTCCAATGTTACTATTTGAATAGTAAATTAGTATTGAATTAACTTTAAGTTTTATATATAAGTCACAATATATATATTAAATTTATTACAAGTGGATACTATTTTGATACTATTTTAATATTGGTTTATAACCTTATCGGCAGATATAATATTACAAATAATTAATTTGAAACAAAATAAATACATATTTGAAAAAATTAAAATTAATACAAAATAATATTAAGTTATTTTATATTAGCCTATACTATACTATAATAAGATCAAGTCATATTAATATCTAATTAATTAAATATAAAAAAAATTGAAATTGTAAGATAATATATAGAATCAAATTAAATATATAAATTAATAATAATATTATTACTTATTCAAATACAAAAACTTGAAACAATTCAAAACTAATTGATATTTGTTTTTCTAATAGTAAAAAAACCAATATAATAAAGCCTAAACAAAATTGTATTATTAATATTTCATTCAATATTTGATAAGAATTATTAATTTAATGACTTATACAATAAATCTTTTCAATATAAGGGAATAAAAAAACTTTTTAATTGCCAATAATATATTGAATATTTGAATAATTACTTATAACAGTAGTAATAAAAACAAAAAATTGAAGTAAGAATTATTGCTTATCTGATTCAAAAAATTCAACAACTACATATACCAATGTCTTTTTATATTCTTGTTGTTATTTATAAAACATGTTCTTTTTAGTAAAAAGGGATTTTTAAGATCAAAATAAACCCCAATCATGTGATTCAGTAATAAAATATCCCAGAAATCTCTAAAATATCAAGAATCCCTCATATTTCTATTTATTCTGATAATTTCAAGAATAACTAGTGTAACAGGGATAAATGGAGCGTGACTTCAGTCACGTGATCAATTGTCGCGACAATGGGAAGCCGGCTGTGATAATTTGGTAACAAAGGAAGGACGGGAAGGATTGTGAAAAGAATTATGTAATTTAGCTTTAGCCATGTCGCGGTATCATCAATTGTTATTATATCTAAGCCGCCCTAGCCAAATGTAAAGTATAAATAACATGTAAAGTATAGAGAAGTAAAAGGGGAGACAAGAAATTTAGTGAGAAAATTAATAAAGACTCGGTCAAATACAAACACGCCTAAAATCACCCTTTCACTTATTTACCCAGCAACGGTTACGCGAATCTCTGCTGGAGTGAGCGACAGACTCGCCGTTACACTAGAATAGAGGAAATCCTAGGAATAGTAGAAATAGTGAAAATAATATTTTGTAATTAAACATGTATGTAAAAAGTCTTAAAAATGGAGAGATAAAGTTAAGTTTCTAAAATAGGAAACATTTAAGGTTTGAGTAAAGTAGAAGTTTCAAAATGTGCAAGTTTATGAATAGAGCATTGTACTTGAACAAAGTACTTTCCATGCCTTAAGCCTTAATAATTTGTTATCAAAAACTAGAGGAACCTCAACCCCTTCACAGTCATCAAAGCAAGTTTAGTAAATCACTATTGAGAAATTATCAAATACAAAATTTTATCAGTTTTCGTGTATATCTGAAATCCCATTACAGCATAGTAATAGCTCAGGTTGCATAAGGCTAAATGGCGAGTCTATCATTTACTCCAAATAATTTTTCGCGTGAGCCTCTAATGAAATTTACCGAACAGAATAAAAAACAAACAAGTAAATAAGGCAAGCATAGCTTTAGTCAATGCTTCTTATTCAGTGTAAATCGAACACTTTTATTCAAGAATTAAAAGTAAAAAAATAACAAGAATAACCGTTCTAGATTTTTTCTTAACTATTGCATTCTTTTTATTTTTTTGTTCCTACTTATCCTCACAATCCGAAAACGTTTTGATTAGCTCATTGTATGTCAGCAGCAATTTTTTCCAAGTTGACTTCTCAAGAACCAGCATGATCATAAGACGCATTACGCAAAATACTGTATACATGCAATAGAAGGCCAAAAACCATCCTACAGTACGTAACACCTTATGTGAATAAAGATACTATACTTTACTTAGCCAACATGATTTAAAGACAATTTAAATAATATTTTAATAATAGAAAGTTTTTGAAAGATTTATAAAAGATGTTATAAAAAATCATAATATTGTTGACTCCCAATACTGTAAAATTATTAAGAGGAACATGATTATTAATTGGACTAGGGATATGACCTTGACCATTATTAATTCCATTCAGGATGCGCTATTTCGTATTTAGCATCTGCATAGGCTTTGCGCTGAAAGAGACAATTGTTTAATAAGAAAACAAGGAACGATATAATATTATAGATACTATACTTACATTTTGAGAACAATACAACATAAAGAATTCGACTATGATTTCGGCAAATTTCTGAATAGTGAAGAATTACTGTATTAGATTTCATCCAAATTCGTAAATATCACAAATATCAAATTTAATTCTCACCATGAGAAACAAAGCGCCAACTATATTGATAAGAAGTGTTATAAAATCAAATTGACCAATAGAACCGTGTTGTTGGAATACCAATCGAATCCTTAAAATAAGCTTATGAGATTCATAATATATCTATTTATTCGGACTTATACGCTCAATCATATTTGCTACTAACCCATGCCTATCTATTATGGTATAAGATCCATCTTGATTTAGGACGTTTTGCGCAGCTTTATACTCATTTCCATCAATTGCTTGAGGCAAATATTTGTAAATAATGTCGTCTCTCTATTAAAAGTGTACATATCAAAGTAGTAAATATTTATACAATTCAAAAAAAAAAAGGAATCAATTTATAAAAATAGAAACTTTACCCGGAAACGGACGTTCATGTATTCAATAACTATGGCTATGACTATACCGGAAGATCTATATGTTTCTCTACTACCTTTATCTGCTCCAGGTGCCGTAGAAGGGCCTAGAATTGATAAGGGGTTGGTCTAATGTACCCATGTTCGGGAATAAAAATATAGATAGGTAGCTAGATAAAATGATATCCTAACCATCCAGGTTTGCATTTGCAGCAGTGAGTATTTCTTGAACTGTAAAAATGTCGCCATCAGCATTAGGGTTAACTTTCATCTGTCAGAAGATGCGGTAGTTAGAAATTTTTATCAAGTTGAGAAAAAATCAACAAATTTATTCATTACCCTTGTTTGGTTAGTGAATGATTTAATTAAGGTTTTTCCATCAGATGCCATTAGTGCTCCATCCATTAACCCATTACGCTGTGCTATCGATGTGGCTTCTCCTCTTATTGAATGCTCAACCATGATCTTATTTTCCAAAAAGAAAAAAACGAACTTATATAATAATTATTATTGATAGAAAATTTATATTGGGAAACATTACCGTATAATCTTCAATGTCGCCGATATATGATTTAGGTATAGTTACGTTAGGAGGAATAGACGGTGACTTGGGATTGAAAAAACATCGATCTGATGGGTCTGATATGTTCAAGAAGCTTGAACACCCTTGAGGCAGTGGATAATTTGTAACGGATACTCTAGTAGTGAGGAATGCCACACCAGCACCATCACTTGGGTATTGAACTATGAAAATATAATAGGTTAATTTATAGGATTCTAATTCTAGAAGATTAAGATATTTGGAAATCACTAATCACATACTATCATTAGCACCCCAATAGACGCAAGGTAGCGAGCCACTAGTGCAGTAATTAGGTCGAGTAAGGGTCGTCGGAGCTTGTAGCGTGATTCGAACGGCTCCAGGTACGGGGAGTTCCTGGAAATCAATTGTTATTTTTTCATTTTTTTTGCGAAAATTGATATAAATAAATAAACTTTCTTGAGGTGATACCTTTTTAAGGTAGCCATCCTTAAATATGAGAGTGTAGATTATATAAGCCAATATCGCAAGTTGAAAAAATCGATAAAGCGTCCCCAATCTATGACTGTTTATAAAAGTGACACATTTTTAACCAAAGTACTAACTATATGTCACGGATTTATTTTATTTAAAAACACTTGCCTTCTAATTTTTGCCGTCTTAACGGTTTCATAACTGCGTAAAAAAGTTCATCAGAATAATTGACAAGAAGAAATTAGTCCTATAACGAAAGATTCAAACCTTAATATTCTATCAATGATTTTTCCACTCATATTAATGAGAAAAATTGTTAGTGCAAAAGCTTTGGGTTTAAAAATGAAATTTTAGGAATATAACGAATTCAAATAAATCAACTTCCTCTCGAAGAATCTATACTTATAAGGTTAATTTGAGCAACAAATATTGTCATTGCGTAAGTAAATCAAATTCGCATTCTGTGATAACGTAATCGTTCAAATGCATCTCTACATGCGTATGAGGAAACTTGCTTTCAGTGATACTCAAAACACGTACACCGACTACTGCATATACAAGAAAATTTCAGACCAGGCTCTCTTTTAGTGGTACTGTATTCATCACAAAGACGTACGCACATCACTGTACGTACATTTGATCAACGCCAAGCAAGGTTTTTCTTCTAAAAGAAATTCATGCTGTCATCCCAAAGTAACATAATCATTGATCAAAGTGTACTATACTCGAAATGACAAAATGAAATTTAGAAACTTTCAGATCAATTTGGGTATTATTGTCTTTTACATAAATCAAAACCTAAATTAAATTTTTTACATATTGGTTATAATCATTTTTGACAAAACAAATAGTCATATAATTCTAACCATAAGTATACTGTAAATGCACAATAAAATTCTTTTCACAGTTATATTGTTTCGATAACACAATGTGATCTTTAAATCAAATTACACTAGCTTTACATTTAGTAAAGGTTGATATTACAGTAAATAGGATTATATTGAATTTAAGTTTTTCTTTCATTTGAAAATTAAAAAAAAAAAAGATGCCTACATAAAGCACGGATTAAAAAGACTTTAATTTTGATAGTTAGGTAATAAATCAGAAGTTGATTTGTACAGTATTTATTGCTAATATAACATATCGGATAATACTAAACACAAATAAATTTATGATCGTAACAAAAAATTTTAATAATAAAGAAGTAAAAAAATATAATCAAATTAGCAAATATTAAAATAACAAAAAATCAATTGTGCATTGCCTGAGGCATTTGTGTGTTGTAATATTTTATAAGTATAATTAATTGACTAAATAAAATTACATTAACTAATTGTTTTAACCTGTCATTACATGGGTTATAAATATTAATATATGGATATCTGTTAATTTTATATACAATATAAATATAATAATTTAATTTTTTAGGTATATCATATATTACATTTATTTTTCTTCTTTCATTATCAATATCATAATTAATATCTTATAATTTGGTTGTTTTATTAAAATAGCAACGTTGACTTGTTTTGCAATAAGCAATTGTTATTATATAATATATTTAAAAAGCAATAAATTTGAATGCAATATATCATGAAACGTGTAAATTAAATTTTAAATCACTTTATTAATTGATTAATTGTCGGTTTTTTTTTTCTACATTTTTATATAAATTTAAGCTCAATATTTAAATACTTTAATATATACTTAACAAAATTTATTAATAGTAAAATGTTTGTTAAAATAATAGTTATAAAAATTGAATGGATGTCAAGATTTTAATAAACAATAAAAAAAATTGTTTAATATAGATAGAATTAATTATAAGGAACAAGTTTACTTAATACATAAAATTGTTTTTATTAATAAAATAAAAGGTTTAATATACAATATAATGTCGAAGCAAACATTAAATTTGTTTCTAAACTAGGGCAATGCTTATATAATATACTGTTAATTTGATATTAAGTTACACTCTTGCTCATAAACTATCTTACTAGATCTTTGTCCTTAATAATCATGCCATGAATTCTTTTAAGTAACCATTGCTAGTTAAAATAAGTGTATTAATTATGATTTTCTTTATTTGAGTATTGTATAACAAGTACAATTATTATTTTATTAGCTCAATAACACTATTATTTATAATATAACAGACATGTATATTCTAATAGTAATATGTTATCCAAATTAACTAATGTATAAATTTATGCATTAGTGAAAATATAACATATTTTAAACTTTTTTATAGTTTATATTAATTACATTATAATTTACAATTACTATATCTATTTTATAAACTGATAATAACAACTATTTTTTATAAATTATAATTATTTTTAAATAATTTTTCATTTAATATAAAAAAACATAAAGATTATTATATTAAAATATTTTTTTTACCAAATCAAATATTAAATATGTTTTTTTGCTTAAATATTGTTATTTATATTAAAAAATAATCATTTATTTAATAATAAAGTTTTTAAAAATAAGATACTTTTTGTAAATAATATTAAAAAAAAATAAATATTTTTATAATTTACTTATTAAGCTAAACCTAATTTTATATTTTGATATTTTTTAATTTTGTATATTATAATACTTTATTATTGTCTTTTATATCTATTTATATACAATTATTTTTAAAGTTATAGAAAAAAACTTTATTATTAGTTTTTTTATTTTTTATATTATTTAAAATATAAATATTTATTTTTGCTATATCTGTTACTCTAAAGATTTCTCTTAAATTTTTATATTTAAAGAAAAACTTAAAAAAAATATTAAAATCTGATTACATCAAATTAAAAATGTTTTTTGTACTTAAGAAATAGAAATAAAGTAAAAATAATATCTTATGTCACCATTGAATTTAAAGATATTACTTTTTATTAAATAATTCACAAAGTTAAAAATTTATAAAATTTATTTATATATTTTGAAACAAATTTATCAAAGGTTTCTAAAATGTCTTCAACCTTTATATTATTAATAGTATATGTATATTTGACTTAAAATCCTACATTAAATAAAAACTGTACAAAAATACAATTTCTAATTTAGAAATTTTATGTATCCGATTAATATCTTAGAATTCTTAGATCATATTATCTATTATTTTAATAGGCTTAAACCTGCAACAAGAATTTAACTTGAATATTATACCCTTAAGATTTTAAATAATACTATGAAACTAGTAATTCATTATAATACTATTGATTCAGAAAATGACAAGTCAATCACTTTATTAGTCCAAAGATAGAATTATAAAAGATAAGTTAAGGCACGTAAGATTGATTTAGCTGGGGCTTTTGTTATTAACAAACTTTTCTCTTCTTTTCTAATACCAGCCATTTTCTTGATAATCCCAGGCTATATTCTATAGCAGCAATTATTCTTTCCTAGATGGTGCATACTTGAAAAGGTAAGTTGTTAATTACAATATTTCTTTTTAGGCACTTCAATTTTACTAATCATTTCTTTATTATTAATTGCACTATTGATTTCACTATTCACTTTCATATTTTCTTGTTTGCTTTACAATAATATTGCTTTTTATATTATTGTTACTACTAGAAAAACAATTAGGGGAAAAATAGACTATCAAGGCTAAAATAAATCATAAATAAGTTATATAAGCTTCTATGTTTACATTTTCTATGCTGATTATTAATGCTACTTCACATTTCCAGGGTACATGATGCAGTGATCACAGTATGTAACTATACTTCATGACTTTTATAGAGCTAACAATACTATTATTATATTTAAAATATGCTTTCCAGTAATTAGAAGTTATCTTTTAAAAACAAATCAATTATTATAAAGCTATTCAAAATCTGCACTCACAAAATTAAATCAAGCTAAAACATGACACAAATTATTTTCTGCTGAATAAAAAAAGAAGATTAAATATTTTAAGTACAATAAAATAAGTTATTTTGTTTAAGAAAATATAAAAATTAATTCAAAAGCCAAATTAATTATTATTAAAAAACAACTTATCTTATTGAATGCCAAATTTATTTATATTAAAGAAAAATGAAACCATTGTTCTGATTCAATAATAATAAAATTAATAAATATACTTTAAATATTACTAGATTTTAATGTCTCCAAAAATTTTATAGACAAAAAGTTTATTAAGAAAAACTAAATACTTTAGAATCCATTTATTTATTTATTATGAAACTTGTTAATAAATAAAAAAAATTATTGAATAAAAGTCAAAGCCTGAAATTAAAAAGTATCATACTTTTAAATTTTATGCTCAAGTTCTAAAGCTATAAAGATACAATATTATTTTAAAAAAGTATTAATTATACCAGGCCAATATTTATATTAATTGAAAAACTAATATTCTCTTTTAATAATAAATAAACTATACAATATCAAAATCTTTATTAGTATTTTTTGAATTTAAAAAAAAATATTAGTTTCTTTTTTATTTTCAAATATTAACTTGCTAAAAAACCTGTTAATATGCTATATATATTATTTTTGAAGAACTCATTATCTTAAAAAAATTTGCTGATATCTTTTTTGCAAATTATTAAATTAATTGTCATCTAAATAACAAATTGATTATGTTATAAACTTGAACTTAAAGCTAAACTATTCTTCAAATTGACTTATTTTTTTATTATATAGAACAAAATAAATTAAAAAATTTGTTAACTGTCAAAGAATTTATTAGATTCAATATTTTTTTTAATACTCAGTATTCTTTATATATAAAAAAAATATTAAGATCTTATATTAACTATTATATTTTAAACAAGGTAATTATCAAAAACTGGTATTCTTTTTTTAAATAAAAGAATTAATAAATTGTTTAACTGAAACTAAATACTATACTTTAGCAAAATCAATCTGTACTCTAAATACTATTAAATATAAATTAAATACGAAAATATTTTAAAAAATATTTTATGAATCAAATATAACTACAAATTTTTTGTTTTATCTTTTAATTGATTAATGTTTTTTATTTTCATAATATTGAAGATAATATTTTTCAAAATACTAAGATAATTTTGTTATTATGTGTTTGAATAATATTATTATATATAGCAAAACCAAAAAAAACTATCTGCAATACTTGCAAACTGCTTTAATAACTCTTTAAAAGTACTAAATATATGTTAAAGTTAAAAGATATAAATTAATATATTCAAAAATAAGTATTGTTAATTA